TGTAGTGTTATGGGTTTGTAAGCTTCAAATAATTTAACATTTATTAAAATTATATATGTATACATTAAATAAACAGATGTTATTACCGATTACCTAACAGAATTAAGATTCATACATCGTGGCGTCGTTAAAAACCCTGAACAAGACAGAAGTACAACGATTGGCACTGATAACAAATACTAAAAATGGTGGGCCACACATAACAATTTCTAGAACATATACAACAGACCAACGGAAATAAACTGAATTCGTGAAAGCTGCTGATATATGACACAACAGAATAATAATAATAAAAAAAACATCGGTGTTATTATTTATCAACGTATGAGTTGCATTTCAATTAATTTTCGTCATTTTTAATTCGAAGTATTTGCCTCGAAAACATCGACGGATATTCTGAGCTGTAAAATGCAAAGTAGCAGCGCTACTCATATCTTGCATACCGTATCAAGTACGGTAAAAACGCTAAGGTTGCGAAGACTAACATTTATAAGTACTGGCACATCGCGTCTCACGCCACTGTTGGGCGATGTTTAGTCAGTTGCACACTAACCTCTGAACATAAGTTATACGAGCTACATTGAAACACGGGTAGCGAAAAAACACACACCATATACGGGAATTGATATACTATTTATAGGTATCCTTGAATGCATACTGAGATAGACACTATATTCTTGAGATTTTCGCGTTATACGTGGCTCCAAGTAAGTTATTTTGTCACATAATTAATAAGTTTAACATATATATGGAATTTAGAGAACACAAAGATACAAAATGTGTTGATAAATCACATCTTCAGGATTAAAACATCGTCTTTCATAACAGAGCTTTTAATAAATAAAGAGACGAAATACTAAAGCAAAACTTTTATGGAAACTTAAAACGAAGTTTTTCTGTTTTTAATTTAGTTTTTGCTAAAGATAAAAACAACTTAAAAAGAGGGATTTCTGGAGATGTGTAATTACAACCAAAGATATGGAAAACAAAACCATTTATTTTAACTTATGTGACAGTATGGTATACAGTGCATTCCTAAAACGACTTATATATATTCAGCATTAACGCCTCATAACAGAATCGACTATTTCTACCTAATTGGTTTTAAGTCAGAACAATATACTATAAAATATATTTCGATCTTCCTGTCTGGAGATTTATTCTCCTGAAGAAGAATAGTGAACTATTCGAAAGCGATCGAGTTTTGGATCTCGTTTGAAAACCAGACTTCTTTCTTACTCTTGTGTTCAGGTATTCATCCCGTTCTTTATACATGTTACAGTCTTCAAAACACAATATATAACAGAACAGTGTGAAACGAAAAATTAGATTACTTTTAAATACATTTATTGTCAAGCACAACTGTACCGTGCTCACTACAGGTATCGAAATCCGGTTTTTGACGTAATTTGTTTTTGTCATGAGAGTAAGATTCTAGTGCACAAAAGTTCAACTAGTTCACGTTTAGTTTGTATGTATGGAGACAATATATGGAATTAGTGACAAGAATTTACGTAAAACGTTGGGAGAATTTAAAATATTTATAATAACTACACAGGATCACACAAGTACAGGTCTTAATAATATCAAAATCAACATTAAACACGTATGTACAAACACTGTAAAAAGTTGTTGTAAGTTAAAACAAACAATGAGTTCTTTTACAACAACACAGATTGCGTTGACCAAATACAGAATTACGTGTGGGCTGTTGCAGCGATAGCAACACACAGTATTCTGTTTTGTGTTGAATTTCGCGTAAAGCTACACGTAGAGCTAATTTGGCAGTGATAGACTAGAGGGAAGTCAGCAAGTCAACACCACCCATCTCCAACTCTTGGGCGACTCTTTTACCAACGAACAATGGGATTGAGCGCTACATAAAACGCCCCCACGCTGAAAGGGTGAGTCTGTTTTGTGAAACGGGAATTCGAAATCGCGACCCGCAAATTGCGAGTCGAGCACCCTACTAAAATAGCCATGCCGAGCCCATGTTGTGTTGTTAAGTAACATTGTTTATGACGAGAACAGGTTTGAATAATTCAGGAGTTAGCACATGGTGGACACGAATCGCTCTTCAAATGAGTTAATTTTTAAAACATCGCTTTCACGTAGCGTCAGACTTTAAATTTACATTACAAAATGCCATAATTTTCAGGTAGTACTACGCGTATGTAGGCTGTGTAAAATTTAACGTGCATCAGCCAACACATTTTTATTTTGTTAGCTCACTATGACTGTGTTGTTTTAACTTAAATTTGTGTTGCAGTCATACAAACATCAGACTTAATTTGTGTAGTTTTTAATGCCACCGGGGGGAGGGCATTGTTTTAATTATACCAAGCGAAATATAGAATATTTGGCATTAAGCTAATTTTACCGTGTAAATAAGACTGAAAAAGCACCATGCTCTCGAGAAAGGTTGTTGTATACAACAGCGGGTAGTTCGACGTCAAAATGCACTACATCATTAGGCTATTTAGTCGAAGACGACAGAAATAGTACTACAAAACTTTTATTTTTAGCATTTATGTAATCACCGCAACAATATAAAGGACCTTAGTCAGCTCTCGTCACTGACATTACATTGGACCCGCGAAGTTGAGTGCTTTTGACTTGCTCGTGACATTAAACGTCACGCCTAAAATACCGAATATTGTAAAATATTATGTCTTCAACAGTCCCAAGTTAACGATCGTTTTATAAACTGAACTAATAGTTTTCTTTTTTTCTAATTATATTTTTTGGCGAAATGAACATTAATTTATATTCTTAAATGATAATGTTAATAAATGTTGCTTGGTAGGCCATTGGAAAAAGGGAGGGGGGTTAACAACCTCCTCTCTAGATACGCCCCTGCCTGACATTCAATCATACTATACTTTATAATGACATCTGCAGTTCGCTAATGAAGTTGGATAGTGTGTTAGTTTTTTGTTGTTTTTTTTTCTGTTTCAGCGTATATACTTTGGTACTGGCTCTAAAATTCTGAAAATAACTGAAGATATGCCATAATGTGCAAAAGTAAAAAAACTAAATTAGCTTAATCCTCATGTCCTAGTCATGTGCAAAAGTAACACGTTAAATTAGTTTAATCATCATGCCCCAATTATCTGCAAAAATAACACGTTAAATTACTTTGATCATCAAGCCCCAAACATGTACACACGTAGAACACTAAATCGGAGTGATCCTCAATCATGTGCAAATGTAACATGCTAAGTTAGTTTGATCCTTAAACCCCATTATAATGTATTTTTCCTCTAAACTTGCGTGTGTGTGTAAAGTTTACATTCATGTATTTCTAACTTTTTTTTACACATTTTCATTTTCTTTCTATACGCTACCTTTACTATATTTTTACATACACCTACTAACAATCTAAGCAGAGAGAAATAAACTATGAAAAGAAAAAAAGCAACCGAACGTTATCAGGTAGCGTGCGTGAACTGTCAGAAAATAATAATAATGAAACAATATTAATATGTTGCCCTGTTCGCCCGTCGCATGACAACAAAAAATATATTTCGAAATCGAATGTTCGGTAGTAAGGGCGGTGGCCGCTTATAAAGCTTACATTAGATAATACGTATTTTTGTTGATATTTTAATGATCGCTTCTGTTATTTAATGGACAAAAACAAAGAGACGACCTTATTAATTTAGCTTAAGAAGACTTCTCAAAACATATTTATTTCTGATGTTATATGCAAATTGCTGCTTAGTCAATTTCACCGAATATAGTACAAATGCAGATAGTTGAATTTGGCGCCGAAATATCGCAAACTGGATGAATACTCCCTATAGTCGGCAATACACAAAATGCACTCAGATCAGTCTCGCTGATATACACGCAGCACCAAATTTATTCAAACAATTATCTACCTGACTTTCATACACTGAACTAAATCTGATAAGCAACGTAGATGTTTTAACACTAATAAACTTTTGTGTGTTTAACTTCACTCTCATTGGTTGTTTCCACGTCTCTGAACTGATGGCTTGCAGAATTTATTTAATTTGTTGATGATATTTATATTAAGACTAAACACAGAGCCCCTAAAAATAATTTTATTTGCATTTTTAACACGATAGTATCTAACATGGCTTTGGACACATTCGTACCAAATATTCGCCGAATACTTGTTTCTTATGTTTCATAAATTATTCTAAAAATTCACTATTTTTCATTGTTTTTCTGTTTCCTTAACTTACTCTTTAAGAAGTACCTTTTCTAGACCATCTAAGCAATTTTTTAATTATTTTCAAAAACTTTCCAAATAGTAGACCAGATAAAATATTTCAGACTTATGACTACAACATTTCTAATAATCAGCATTAGTTTGTTTTGTTTTTGAATTTCGCGCAAAGCTACAAGAGGGCTATCTGCGCTAGCAGTCCTTACTTTACCAGTGTAAGACTAGAGGGAAGGCAGCTAGTCATCACCACCCACCGCCAACGCTTGGGCTACTCTTTTTACCAACGAATAGTGGGTCTGACCGTCACATTATAACGCCCCCACGACTGAAAGGGCGAGCATGTTTGGTGTGACGGGGATTCGAACCCGCGACCCACAGACTGCGAGTGGAGCGCCCTACCCACCTGGCCATGCCAGGCCATCCGCATTAGTGTTAGATTTATCACTCAGAGAATGAGGATAGGACATCTGTGGACGACATACTCAATTTCTATTTTAACGGTAGTTTTTAAGACCACAGAGGCCATAATAGAATTTCAATCATACTTAGAGGTGCGGAAACCCTCTCCTGAGTTTCACTGTCATAAAGTCATGGTTTAATTTCTACTATCAGTAACTTGCAGAATGTATTAAGCTTCTTTAAAACTTGTGTATTGCATTGTTATTAGCTTACTATTAAAACAAACCGTTTCAAAGTACTGTTGGTTAGACAACAAGCTTATTAAAAAAGCTGACATGATTTCACTGACTACACAGCCAACATCTTTTCACTGCCCCCTTACGGCATACAAACTGACTACAGCAGCCAACATATCATTTACTGCCTCTTTACATCATACAAACTGACTAAAACATCTGATATGTGTTCACTGCTCACTTAAAGCATACAAACTGACTACAGCAGCCATAATCTTTTCACTGCCCACTTACAGCATAAAAATTACTACAGAAGCTGACATAATTTCACTGCTCACTTACAACATACAAATTGACTACAGAGAACAACCCAAACAAGATGATCCACAGCTGTGGATGCTTCTTTGGAAAGAGAAAAAGCCAATCACCCAAACAGTAGTGGAAATGTAGATCCAATGATGCAGAGATGATTGCTAACTAGCAGCCTCAGCTTGAGTTTTAAAAGTGTAAGAAATCCTCTCAAAAACTTTATCTGAAAGGAAAGGTGCCATATGGAGGTCCCCGAGATAAGACTGAAGAAAGGGGACACCCCAAAAGTAAGACATTCCAACTAAGCAAATTCCAGACACAAAGAAACCAAGTTAACTTGGACACTGCAGAAGGTGAGATCAAAGTCAAGATGGTGAAGAGGTAGGTGTGATTATCTCCAGTGAAGCTGTTGGAGTCATGATGCAGAGTTTACAAAATAAGATGAAGTGTAGATAAACAGTGAAGTAGCTAAGCAAGAGTAAGAAGAGCAGGATGGAGGTAAATGAGAGACAAGTAGGAGAAGGGGGATCCCAAAGTTAGAAGAAGACACTCAAGAGATTGCAGCCCTAGGAAATTTGAAGAATCTCAACTATATGCTATAAAATTAGATACTTGAGGTGAAGAAAAACAAGATAGTTGGAAGTCTGTGCACATCTGAAACAAAAATATCTTCATGAACACAAATATTGTGACATGGGGAAAGAAAGGATTGTAGGAGAAGGAGACTCATGCAGACAGGTAGCCTAATACATGGCAGAAACAACTGGAAAAAAGAGTAAAATTGTCACCTACCTGAGCAATCGAAGCAGCAAAGGAAAAATGTGGGGTTACCCATTCCTCATAAAGAACCAGAAGCAAAGGCAGATGGTGGAACAATTGATCAAATTCATCAAAAAAAAAGAAAAGAAAAAAAGAGGTAGACTCAACTAAAGAACAGGAGCAGGAGGTTGAGAATCCTGAATCTGAGATAAAGGTAGAATAGACTCAACCACCTGGTGCACAAGAATGGTAACATCACTAACCATCAGAGTGCCTCCAGTTGCACTGAAATGAAAGAAGACAACTCCTGCTGTGGAGTGTCAGGACCTCAGGAGGTATGGATATGAGAATTATTTTTGAAATGATCCACAAAACCAGTTTTTGGTTGGTTTGTTATAATTTAAAGTAAGACTACTCAAGTAAAAAACAAGAATATTTATATAAGGTTGAAATGAAAGCTCAAGTAACAAATGCATTGCAAAAATACCATAATTTTTTAATACAAATAATTCAACAAGTCTGAAAACAAGCAGTGATGAAGAAAGAATGGGCAGTTGTTGTAATGCTAGTGCTTATGGGGTTTACTGCACATGGAGGATGTGTTACCCTCCTAATAATGGAGGACTATTGTCTACTGATGAGTACATCGTAGACTGGTGCAGTCCGTGTTAATACATGTAATGGTTGGAGATTTGTTTAAGACTTGTGGCATGCATAAAAACAAACTTCTCAGCAGTGGTGCAAGTTAATAACTATCAGTTGTGCAAAACGGTGAACAACATTTTTGAAGTCAGATTTTCTGAAATATATAGTGAAATTGATGTCAGTTCACAGGTAATTCAGAAAACATCAATTTTGACCTCACTTGACCCTTGCAACCTTGAAAATAACCTTTAAGGTGAAAATTGAGAATGCCCTCTTTTAACAAACAATACATGAAATTGTTTAATTGAGGGCTTTTTCCTGCATAGCTGGTCTATTAAATGAAACAATTTCTGGGTCATCAGTTGGTTTATAATCACTTTTTATTATAAACAAACATCTGTTTCTTTCAAATTACCAACTTATCATGGATGTCTTTTTTTAATATAAATATTTATTGATGAAATCTAAAATGCTGATATATTTTTACTTCCATAACTGAAAATATTAATTGTTCTTTTATTTAAGCATTTTGACTGAGATATAAATAAAGTCCACTTTTCCTAACTTTAAATATTTACATACACTTAAATTTTAGTTTTTCTTTACAACTCTTACAAAACTTTCCTCTCATAGATTTATGGGAAATTATACAAGTTTTACAGTAAAAATAAATCAATTTAATAATTAGTGTAAAAAGAAAGGTAGACCAGTGAAACTGCTAGGGTTGGATTAAGAGTGACTCTGGACTCAGGCGGTGTCCCAATCATGGGCCCCCTATTTGTATTGACATCCTGCAGTATATTTCATTGGTGGGCCAAGCAAGAAAATGCTATACAACCTAAAATGTCACTTTTGTACTGGTAAGCCTTGGCCCCGGGCAGCCCCCTGGCTACCAAGTTTCATAACTTTGAATTTATATACATTTAAAAAAAATAACAAACAATTATATCACATTTTATTTCTTAATCATTACTTAGAAGTCAATAAGCAGTAAAACAGATTATGAAATTAATAAATATTTATCAACAAAATTTTTTTCCTAATAGTTTCTAATATTGGCAAATTAATTTAAAACATTCTTTCAATACTTTCTCTTTAATTGGAATTTGTTTTCTGGTCATTTTAATTTGTTGCTTAAGTGATACCACGGTGTTATATTTAAGTCCTAAAAGGTAATGAACATGTAAACAAATACAAAACTGTATATCAAAAGAAAAACTATAGTTGAAGACATACTTCACAAATATAATCGTATAAAAACAGACTAAACAATGTTGTTCAGTCTGTTATCATACGAGTTAATAACCATTTTTATGGTCTGTTAAATGTGCATATACAAGTTTGGTCAGTAGCTCATCTACAGTATTAAGATTGGTAATACTATATTTGTCACATACTAGTTTCATAATCAAAACTTTTAAAATCTATTAATTCAGAGAAAGTTTGATAAATACAGGTACAAATGGTGTTACTAGACATACTTATACATACCTGTGCTAGCTGCCCATCTTCACTAAACTGTTTAACCCTTTCCTCAATTTTAGCTCCTCTATTTTCCTTCCCTCTTCCGTGACTTTTCCGTCGAGGAGGAGGTCTTGGTGGCTGGTTTGTTGGCAAATCCATATTCTGTGGCCTAGAGATTGGCGAAGGTGGTACTTCAACTGGACTACTGACAACATCACAAGGCATGTGAGTTCCCAAAGGTGGTTCACTAACAGCTCTGACAGCACTTAACATAACAGCTTCTAATATACTTGGACTTGACTGGCTGTGGGGAGATTGTAAACTTCCAAGCATTTCAGGAGAACTAGAAGATGCTCTGCTGAGATCTGGTGACATTTTCTTTACTTTCTTTTGATCTTTTCTGCTTTCTCCATCATCAAAGGCAGGGCTTCCTTGAAGTTTCTGACTATACATTTGAGGGGACTTCAGTCCCGACAAATTTTCCAAACTTGATGATGATTTGTCAAGTTCTTCATCACAAAGTTTTATCTCCCAGTACTTTTTTTTTAATGTCAAGTACTTAATACCCTGGGTTAAAAAAATTATTTAAATTGTTGATGCAAATGTTTACACATCTTTTTAGTACTATATCTTAAATGCTAATACTACTTTTCATACAAAACATAAGGTAAGTCACAGAAGAACACTTGGCCAAACACGATCACTCCTCTGCCTACTAAGTCCAATCAACCAAAGCAAAACAAAATGTAGCCCTTCAAATTCATAAACATATATAAAAAAAAAAGACTAATTACATACATACACATTTTTAACACACTAAAACACACATCACATCATCACCTAATTTACTCAATGAGTTCATAACATATAAATAATTTTGCCAAATTACAATTCTGCCAGAATATTTAAATATGTGCCTTATACAAAACCCTTATAGTGCAATAGTTGTAGCTACATTAGCTATAATTTTACAAACACAGTAACAAATGTATGTAATTTGAAACTCTTGAATGATAAGATCTAAAGTTTTATTTACCAATAAAAGTATATAACATGAGTCACAACTCACATCAATTAATATTTTGGTATAATCTTATTCTTTGTTAAACACAAAGCCACACAATGGGCTATCTGTGCTGTGCTTAAGATGAGCATTTAAACCTGGGTTTTAGTGGCATGATCCTTCTCTCTTACTTTATCATGGCAAATGTGTGCCTACCCTCACACCTGCCAAGAATAGTTAGAGTCAGCAGAATCAAACACAAGGGGAGGCTTATGGTCATTTTAATATAACATAGTGACACAGATGAATGTAATTAAGAAACGTTACATCCAGAAATGGATGAAATATTTATTATTTGTCATATAATAAATATTTCCCATTGTTTCAAGACACAGGATACATCCTCAAGAAGCCACTTTAAAACACTACAGCTTAAAAGAAGTTAACAGAAGTTTATTCATTTTGAAAAATAGTTGGAACACTTGTTTTATGTCTTATGTTACTTTATTTTCTATATCAATAGTTCTGTCTAGGATTTCAGCAGTGGTGAGCTGGTAATGAAGTACTTAGTGAAATGAGGCAAAGTATTTTTTTTTTTTTCACCATTGGGATCACTTAGCCCCCAGAAGCCAGTGGATTAAATGTGGAAATGTTAGGGGAACTTATTTTTTTATGTTCAATCTTTATTTATGTGTCAACAGTAATTTATTCTCATATTTTATGCTGAAATCTAGTGTCTTCAACTTTTACATCATCATTATTATTCAAAAACCTGATCAAAAGCAGGGCTTCTGAAAATCATGCTTCAGTGCTGGGCACATCTGTTTATTGAGAGCAAATATTCATATCTTGAATCACAGAACTCATAGATCCTGCATATAAAATTTGAGTGGTTTACACCTTTTAAAAGAACAGATTTCACAAAAACAAAAATGGAAGTATGCAAATACTACATAATGTAGTAGGAAACTATATTTGAAATGAACAATGCATATAACATCTATAAAACCAAAAAATCAACTTACCTCTACTAGTTTAACTGTGGCCAAAGTGTTAATGTAATCCTTAAACTGGTTTCTTGCTTCCACTAAAGGAGAAAAAAATACATCTTATTTGATGCATTGTTTCCCTACATCCAAAAGATGAACAAGTCATATACTTGTAATGTTACAAACCTATAGAGAATCTTATTTCACAGTGACAAAAGAATATGTTAGTGAGAGTAAGCCCTAAAGGTGACCCCATTGCCATGCCATCTATTTGGTCATATAGCTGACCACAGAAGACAGTGATTATCCTTGAGGGCAAGATTAAGTAATTATTCGAACTGTTAAAAATTAAAGCTTGTGTATGTTTTATTTTTGTGAGTAGGGGAAAAGTCTTACTTGTTAGTTTTGATATTGAATCTTTATTCACAAACATTCCACTCGAGGAAACAATACAAATAATCTGAAAGATACTTTTCCCTACAAAAATAAAACATACACAAGTTTTAATTGTCAACAGCTCAAAGAATTACTTAACCTTGCCCTCGAGGATAATCACTTTGTCTTCAACGGTCAGCGATATAATCAAATAGATGACGTGAAAATGTGGTGAACTGTTTAAATTTTATTAGTCACTCTTATTGTGTGTACTGGATAAAAACAAAATAGAACATAGATGCTTAAAATTGACAAATTACCAGGTTTTCATATGATAACTACTGTTTCGTAAGTACTAAAGAATGATTGACATCAAAAAGAAAGAAATAATTCGGTTTTGGAAGTTAATCATCAGTAATTGATACTGTTTTTTTTTCCTAATAGCATTCTTCATTCTAACTCCAATTACAAAATAAATATAATTTGGTTACATTAATCAAAGCAAAATCCTATGGTACCACTCAACCAGATAACAAAATATAGTGTGTAAATTGCTTATTAATCTATAGCTTGAATGGCTGAAGTATTCTCAAATTTAACTGTTTGTGCATACAAATAGGAGAATGGACTGTCTAATAAACTACCATTCTTATTGAAGGATTTACCAATAAAACAATTATTATTTTTAGAAGTGTAGATACTAAAATGTTATGGACTGTACCTACCTGAAGTGGATGAAGCTTCAGTCTCTGGGCTAAGGCCTTCATCAGGTCATGTTTAACAATTCCAACAAAAATATTTTTAATTTATATTTTCATAGAAATCAACTGAGACATGGAGACTAAAACGTATGCCACTCCTTCACTACGCTCTAAGCAGATGGAGTCAACATAACTATTAAACCTAATATTGGACACTTACATCTCAAACGAAAGTTCTACTCAACTAACAGAGTACCATAATTATTTAATTTTAAATAAAATTATCTTATCAAACCAAACTATATAATCACAATATTATCACAGAGTACATAATGATAAATAAAACGTACAACTAAACTACACCAAGGCTGTTTGTTGATAACATGTCAAAGGAAATGTGAAACATATTACAAATAAAATACACTGTACGTAACTATATGCACTACTGTTGAGCTCATATTCCTGAATACAGATGAACACAAACAAGATAAACACCCGCAGTTGTGATGTTTCGTTAAATGTAATAAATAGGCTTCTGTTCACTTTCTGGTATATCTAATCACTAAGAAACAAACAAGTTTTAGCTTTAACAGACTGCCCTTCTCTGTTTCTAGAGTAAAATGATGTTTTGATTCCTATACTGTGGCCTTCTTCATCCTCAAGAAGGCCTCAGTATAGAAGTCAAAATGTTACCCTACTCTAGAAACAGACAGAGCAACCCATTAAAGCCAAAAGTCTACTGTGTTTACACTGCTCAGATTACCCTCGAAATAACTAACAAAGGTTGTGTTCATTTAAAGAGGCTAAGAATGTTCATTATATAGTATCTATGTGTTAAATTTAAATACAATATCAAGGAAGACAGCAAAGGTAAAATATCCTATACTGTACTTCTTAAATTCTTATTTCATTTATTACAAACATAGTATCCAAAACAAAAGCACTTTTCATTTTATATCCACATTATAGGTTGACTATATAGTACATACTTCCCTAAGTACAGGTAAATACGTGATATTCAGTGACAATGTTTAAACATTTTAACAAAACAAATAGTAATTACAGTGGTTTAATACTTAAAAAAAAAGAAATAAGAGGCATAAAGAAACAGAAAAAAGATGTACAAAAAAATATTAATGTCCAGAGTAATTTAGACAACAATTTATTTTATTGAATACTCCGAGACTCTTCAACTGCTGTGACAGATTGACAAGAAATGCACATACACTATTAAATTATTTCTATAGATGTGGAGGATAAGCTGGCTGGAAAAAACTGAAGGGTTGTTATAAATGGAGTTCAGTCAAACTGGTTAAAGTTACAAGTGTGGTATATGTACCTCAAGACTCAATGTTAGGACCTTTGCTCCTTTTGATTTACACTGATGACACAAATGAAGAAATTGTGTATAAGTTACTTAAACTTGCTGACAATATTAAGGTCTGGTGTTGTTGACTGTGAGGAGGAGGACGCTTTAAAAAATGATTTAGATTATTTGAGGAGTGGAGAAAATAAATGGCAGATGGTTTTTAATTATAATACATGCAATGTAATATATATGTGGGTTAAAATTTAAATCATAAATATAATTAAGAAAATTATCTTGGTATTCTTATTGATCTGTCTATTAAGCCTTTCAAGTAGTGTGCTGTTTCTAGTGGTAAGGTAAATAGGATTTTAGCTTGTATTTACAGAAATATGGAATATAAGTCTAAAGAACGTATAATTTCATTGTACAGATTACTGGTTAGGCCTCATCTGAAGTACTGTGTTCAGTCTTGGACTTCTTACTTTAGGAAGGATCTTGATTTATTGGAAAGGGATCAGAGGAAGGCTACTAGGATACCTGGGATTGAAAGGTTGTCATACAAGGACAAGTTAAGATCTCTGAAGTTCTTTTCTCTTGAAAAAAAAAAGATGTTGGAAGAGGATGTGATTGAGGTGATTAACTTTGTTAAGTGAACTCATAGTGATACTACATTATCTTTTTTCATACTTAATGGTGAAAATGGTAAGACTACAGGACACAAATATAAATTTTGGCAGGGTGGGAGTCATCTTCAGCTAAACATATAATATATTTTCCTCAGTAGTTGGCCTTTGGAATGTGTTGTCTTCAGATATGGTGCATGTAGCAAATTTAAGAGAAGACTTGACAAATACTTAACTGATAAGGGTTAGCTTTGAGTGTTTATTTAGGGTTTTTGTTTTGTTTAGTTTATTGGATTGGACAGCCTAGATGGACCAACAGGTTTCTTTGTTTTCCTTAAATTTTATGTTATGTTTTAGTTACCCATTCTTTCCATAATTTAATAAAAAGTTAGATTGAGATTCAGACTATGTAAGTTTATGCAATTAGCTAATTTATTTATTGTTTATTGTCAACAAAAGTGGTCAGTACACTAATCAAAAGTATGACTTGTTACGGTATTGCTTAACAAAACAAACAAGCCAATGTCATTGCTTGTTTCCAGATAGTTTCCTATGCAATGCTTGTTTTCAGTTTTTATTTTATATACAATAAAGTCAATGTGGAAAATATAAGAAGTAGTTATAACACTACAAGCTATGAATAAAATACAAAGAACAAAATTATAAGTTATACTACAAAAAAAAAAGAAGCAAATTCAGTCAAAAATAGTTTTTGTTACATATATAAATTAGGAAGAACTACTACATCTCAAATGGATGGATAACGAATTTAACATACTTTACAGAAAATGATAATTACCTAGAATATATAAATCAAAGCCATAAAATTGTATTTAACTTCAATAATGCTAGGCCTTTACATACCTAACATAACAACCATGTATGTTTGCCTTAAGCAGTTTCAATACAAAAATGTACAAACTAACATTGCTGAAGTGTGTGAAGACATTTAGAAATAAAAACTGCCAAGCCTTCTAAAATAGCTTTTAATAAAATGAGAACTTTAATTATTATGGATTTCATTATGATAAAAAACATATTTTAGAATAAAACATATTCATACATTATACCACAATAATTTTTTTTTCTATCACTATTTTATTTTAATTTCCATCACTTCCATTCCAGTTTTGGTCAAGGTATCCTTTTAACAAAACTCATATTCCATCAAGTTCACAAACAGAAGAAACTTAATCCTTTCTTTATATATGTTTTAACAATTATTTTACAGTCTCTGCTAAACTTCATTAAAAATAAATTTTCTTTATCATTTACTATATACCATTATACATTGTTAGTGAAAAACAAAACAAAAACATCCCACATTAATGATACATATATGTACATTTTTGGTGTAAAATCTGTAATGAATATAACTGCTACATAAAGTATATCTTCATAAACATTTTCATGTTTGTAGACCATACAACCATTTACAGAAGCAAAAATCATGATAAAATGTAGTTTATATAATACTATAACACTTAATAAGATGTTTTAAAGAGCTAGTGTAATATTATACAACACAGCATTTAAGATTATTTTACTAAATTACACAAAGGGTCTAAATTTGGGATTTTCAAATTGTCTAAAAATTACAAAAAACTGCTGTTGAAAATTACAATAAATATACAGAATAAAGTAAACACCTATGTATTCTAGGTCAATCACTCTAAATTTAAGATCATGTAAAGCTGAGAACATCATTGAGTTAACTGGTATAACCAGTCATGTTTGTAGTACCAGCAAAAAATTAGTTATTGTTGAGGTTTATTTACACTCTATAGTTCCAGTGTGACATGCAACAAAGCTCTTAGGGAGCCTTATTTTGGGAATGTTAAGTTTAAGCAAAAAATAAAAGAGTCCTAAATATTTGTCTCACATTACATCATTTTAACAATGAATGAAACATTGAACAATCTTATGGAACAGTTATGATACCTATAAAATATATACATACACTATCCATATTAGACCTATACATTGTCTTAAGATTACTAAATGTATCTAACTGTCACATACATGATATGATCATAAGAATTCTCAGACAGAAAATGTGCATTTACCGTATATCATCTTGTAGTTTTGGTGAAAAAAAAAGGAAAACATCCCACTTTATTGGTACACATGTGTGCATTTTTAATGTATAAAATTTGTTACATGTCATCCACATTAGACCTACAAGTTGACTTCAGATTACTATATACACCAGAAACCAAAATCAGTAATATAGCAAATGCACATTATTCATTGGCACTTCCTTCAGAATAATAAAAAATGAAAACATTGTTTCAGATGAAAAAGCATGTACAGGTATCAAAGTATATTATGCTAGGCTGTGATGTAATCATCATTATACTAAAGCCCTCCATCAACATGAGGGCAGCACATCCTAACTGTGCAATAATTCAACATGAGCAGCTGTAAAATAAAAAAAAAGATTCAAGTATCTCTTCATATCTGATTCTCATCCCAATATTACTTACATTATTTCCTAAAGGTTTTTAAGGATTTTCCACAATCTACATAAATTAGCTGGTTAACTAAAATTTTACTGTTATGATGAAATGACCAACAGGAGGGCAACACATCCTCCATGTGCAATAACTTGAATTCAGAAATTTTTTATTTTTAGGAATTGCCAAAAATTTTGCACTTATTATTTTAAATTTTTACCATTTGTAGTGCAGTCTTTCTTTCCTTAAAGTTCTTGCTTATGTGAAAGTAAGATAACAAGTTTTAAATTTTTCAGTCAAAACATTGATTTAAATTATCTTCATTGAATTTTTTAAAATCTAATTTGTGGCTAATTTAACACAACAAATCGGTTTTAAGCTCTACCCTGTATCATATTCTCTTGAGAGGTTTTTTGTGTTGCAGGCTCAGCCTAATTCTATATGTCTTTAATACATGGAGCTTTTGATACCAACATTCTCATGTTTCCTTCATTATCTGCCTGAGAGGATTTGTCTTTTTTGGAGAATCTCTCTTCTGCTTAATCCCTTGTTTCTCTTGGATGTGCCTATATGTATCCCATTTTGACCTGCCACTGCAGGTATATCCAGAGATCCACTGCATTCTTTTCACCTCTTACTGTCATGTTGGCTCACTTGATCCCATGCAATCCTGGACATCCTTCTCCCCCACTACCCACCTTTCCCAGGCTTCAATCTGTTTGGAGCCACCTATGGCTAAGCAGTAAACCTGTGGGCTTACTTTGCTCAGGTATGTGGATTTTCATATTTATGGTGAGTGCAGCACAGGTGGCACAATGTGTTGCTTTCTGCTTGCCCTACAAATATACCTTTCTACAGATGCCTTGGTTCAGGTGTAAACTGATGAAGAAAGGTCCACCTTTTGAAAATTCTTGAGTTATAAGGTTTTGAAATTTTGCCTTTGATTTTGTCAGCCTAAATGAGGGTAATGGTGTGAATTTAGAGTTTTTAGATTTTCAGAAAGCATTAAAAGATACCACATAAAAAAAGGCTTGTCAAAAAATTAATTCTATAGGCATGGGGATAGGATGTCTCATTTAATAGAAATATGGTATGATGGAATAAAGCAGAAGCATGTTATAAATGGAGTTCAGTCAAACTGGATTAATGTCATAAGTGGGATACCTCAGGGCTCAGTATGATAATGTTAAGCGGGTTTATTCTTTTTGATTTACATCATTCACATAGATAAAGGAATGATCAATAAATTTCTTAAATGTGCTGATGATGGGTGTTGCTGGTGACATAGAGGATGCTGCTGCTTTACAAGTAGACTTTGATTATTTGGTGAGTTGGGCAAATAAATAAAAGATGGCTTTTAGTTATAGCAAATAGACGGTAATGTATATACTTTATCATAATTTAAACTATAACTATAATTTTGATGGGAATAACCTTAAAATTATTATGAAAGAAAAGGATTTTGTGTGTTCTGGTTGATCAGCCTTTTTAAGCCTTCTAAGCAGTTTGCTATTGCTAGTGGGAGAGCAAATAGGATTTTAAATTACATGTATAGAAATATTGAATGTAGGTCTAAACAGATTATAATTTCATTGTATAGTTCACTGGTTAGGACTCATTTGGAGTATTGTGTTCAGTCTTGTGCTCCTTACCTTACAAAGGGCACTGAATTCCTGGAACGGGTTCAGAGGAGGGCCACTAAGATGATACCTCAGATGGAAAGGTTGTTGTATGAGGACAGGTTAAGATCTCTGATATTGTTTTCTCTTGAAAAAACAAAGTGTTATGGAGGATCCAATTGAGGTGTTTAAAATTGTTATGGAAACTTATAGTGTCTAAGCATCCCTTTTTTTTATAGTTAATGGTAATGATGGTAGGACTAGGAGGCACAAATATAGAGTATGGCAGGACAGGAGTCCTCTTCAGCTAAAACAGTTTAATTTTTCTACCAGGGAGGTTGGCCTATGGAATGGGTTCCCTTCGGATGCAGTAGATTCAAAAGGTAGTTTAAAGAAAGGTTCAGTATTAAATAATAAGGACTGGCTTTATTTTTGAATAAATAAATCTTCATCAAAACATGTTTCATTAATATTTAATCCAAAAATTGACCTGTAAGTGTAAGTTTTATGTTAAGGCCTGTGTTACAACAGGAAGAGAGAGAGAAAAATAATGAGTTTTCTATCTTCACAAATACAAGTGTGGAACGTTCGTTTGAAATCTCCCCATTTACTTGCTTCATCTTTCACGACCAGGGTTTGTCACATCAACAATTTCATCGATTATGTACGTTGACAATGGGCATGATCTAATTCTAAATAAATACAATAACATTTACAATAGCCTAATACTAATACGGTAATAGCAGTGAAGTAATAATATTATTTATATAGACTTATTTTTTGTGGCTCACGCAAGACATGTTCACATATTTAACGTTAAATTCTATTTTACATCCTCTTTAGCCTTTAACTTTTAAGATTAATCAAGCAACTTCAACAACCACATACAATTTACAAAATATTCTCATGAGTCATAATTCAATGTACTAGTTCTTACTTTTAATGATGTATGACTATAGGCTCAACATTACTGACGGTAACAACTAAGTTGCTAACAATCTGTATTATAAAATACTACTATTTAGTAATAATACATACGTAACTTTTGTTTTTTATGGTAGACCTAAAAAAAATGTATTGTATATAATTTAGTTGTGAAAACTTTATACTTAACACTTTTTACAGAGCTAAGTTAAACTACTGTCGATCTACTCACCTTGCTTTTCAGGATCACCATTTAAAAAGTATTTCTTGAAATGTTTTACTAAATCTTGATTTTTTACTTTTCCGCCCATGCTTATAAAATATTGCCTAACATCCTCAATAGTTAATTCTTTAAAATCCCCCATTTTGAATGTAATTAAAAGGTGTCTTTAAAATTATTTACAGAGGGCGCTTTAACATTATTGAAACTTAGCAAAATAAAGACCCAAACGCAATTTAAAAATCAAGCAAAACAATTTTACAATTTACTTTTTTTGTCCCCAGTGGCTCATGGTAAGTATACAGGCTTATGACGCTAAAAATCGGTTTTCAATACCTGCAGTGGGCAGAGCAATGTTTAATTTTGCGCTTAACAACAACCAACCCATGCCAATTGTTTTGTTACTTCTTAAAAAGTATTCATCTAGAAAATACAAGTGGAATTATGATTATGCCCAGACGTAAATATTGATAACTCTTCACACTAAATTAATATAACAAAGTTATTTACAAACAATTACGATAAGTATTGATACTTTTTTATTTTCACAAATTTTGGTGTAGTTAGATTATTGTTAATGTGATTTCTCGATTTTATTATTGTAATTGGATGTTTAATAAATTTTATACCATTAATTTTGGACCTGACAATAACCACACTGGACGATTAAAAAGTGTTAATATATATATATTTTCTATTACCTGTATGATGTTTTACTCACTACAGTAAACATATATTTATACAGCCTTTGAAAAATATGCAGCATTGGCGCTATTAATTTATTATTCTGAATTATTTAGCAGACAAGCCGGTTAGCTTAATAACAATAAATATGAAACCCAATCTATTATCCGATTCACAACTTGTAACTGAGCTATACCGGTTTTGGGGCTATTCTCTACTCGTCAGAAACTGTGGCAATGGCAAATCAAATGAACAAGACTAAGCTTCTTATATTAGTGGAGTGTATATGATGAGGAGTGGACTTCCTCGAAGTCGGAATAATTCAGTGAGAAGTGGTGAATGGATCACATGTTGGGCTTCATAGTTATTTTTGGTATATAATTATTTTACTAAATAATTCAGCGGCATTTATTTTTTATTTGTTACTTTTTGTTATTTGGTTTTTAAAAACGTATTGCTATAACGCATCCTATCATTGGGGAAGATTTTTTGGATTATTTGGTATAAATATTGCGAAGTCTAATTTATGTAACGCTAAGGAATTAAATTATTTCTTCAATAACGTTGGATACAGGCTACGCTCACTAGTAGGCCTAACTTTACAAACATATTTTGAACAGAAATTGCAAAATAATAAGCAAACTTCCTCTAGCGAATAAAATTATTTAGTGTTTTATATAAATAAACAAACTTCCTCTAGCGAATAAAACACTAAATAATTAAAATATATAGCCTTCAACACTACCTTCTTCCTGGATTGTGAAATCCCTTGAACAATCTTAATACAGAAACTAAACAGTACACTAAACTTACGATTGCATTATTAGCAATAAAGTCATTATTTATAATTTGAACAAACTGATACTTTCTATTAAACATTACAATCACAATATTAAAAAGTAAACTTGTTAAACAAAGTGTAATAACAATTCTGGTTAACAAAACAAAATCTGATATCTTATTGTCTGTTTCAAAACTATTCATTCACCAGGTCTTTTTGGCGGTTTTCTCTTCTAGGGCTTATACTATGCAAATGATATTGTAACGAATTTGTTATTATATATTTGTTTGAATATCAATGTTTGTTTAGATTAAATTTATATTTAGAAACATACATAGCTTATACTGTTAAATATGTATTGCGAAACTCCCGCCTATTCTCCAAAGTTGTAGAAGATTCTCGAGAGTAAGAATCAACAATATATGCATATACGTAAACGCTTAAATGTAGCTCAGTATTGTTACGTAATCTGAATTTTCTAGAAAACTTTCCCACGGCTATAAATGTAACCAACGCACCGCGCCAGAGAGAGTATCTATTATTAGTTTGCTATAATCAGTGTGCTATAAAACTTCGGATGTTATAACTGTGATTGTTATAACGCTTACCAATTGGAAAACTACAGATATTTTATCAGGAACCAAGTTCGAACATTACAAATTATTTAACTTCAGTGGATTCTCATCGGACATTAGTATTTTTACAAAAACATTACCTAACGT